CCACTTCTGACTCCAGTTGTAGTGTTGTAAGGACGAGCAGACTTCTTTAGGAGGCACACTCTGTTTATTGTATTATTTCCTTATACATCGCTTAACACACACAGAGGGATATTCGGTCCCCTCACCCGATACCCTAGGGAGGTAGCCTCCAGACTTGGCGGGACTCACACGTCTACCGCTAACCTCCTTGATACCTAAGGAGGTACAACCTCCGGACTTGGCGGGACTCACACGTCTACCGCTATCCTAGTCCTCCGGCTAGGACCTAGGGGAGGCTATCTGACCCACCGCTGGCCCGGTGGGTCCTGACCACTGGGTATGCCGAGCCTTAGCCCTTAGAAGGGCTGAAAGGCTGGTCCAGGGTCCTAGCTAGGCTTCAGCCCAGTCTTCTATCTTTGTGCAGGGAGAGAACTCCTCGAGGTCCGTTGGGTCACCCGTCTTATACCCCTTCGTGGCCAGGTAGAACCAATCACACATTCCCACGTGGAACCGTCTGATTGGTTCGCACCAAACCTTGGCCACGATCCGTTTCACCTCGACTGACCCCAACCGTTGTACCCAGGGGTAATGCTGCACTGCCCTGGTGGCAACGCAGGTTACGCAACAGCGCGTAGTTAACACCTCTACACCTGTAACCGAATTGGGTGCGGGCACTTGGCAGGCTCTTTACCTCAACGATTTCCATGGAGCCCCGCCAAGGTTATTATAGCTTGGGGGACGTCTCCACAGGGATCTGGGGGTAGTGAAGCCATGCCCTATCGCCTACTGCCCATTTGGTCCCAGTTTCCCGGGTCCCCACCTGCCGCTCGTTAGCAGCTTGTTTTAAAGCCGAATTACCTCGGCAGGCCTCCCTCGCCTCCGACAAGCACTGGAGGGTAAAGCGTACAGCAGGCATCTTCTTATAAGCCAGATCCGGATTCAGCTGGACATCAATGGGCAGATCTTGCTCCCTCCCATACATGATAAAAAATGGTGAGTAGCCGGTGGATGGATGAGGGGCCAATCTATAAGCGGCAAGAACACCCGGAACATGCAGGTCCCAGTCCGTTTGTTCCTCATTAACCTTCTGACATAGCATGGATGTTAGGCTCCTATGTAGGTGCTCCACCATGCCGTCAGTCTGTGGGAGATAGGGCGAGGTGCAGATCTTTTGGTGCCCAACAGGTCACACACCTCCTTGAGCAGCTTAGATGAAACATTTCTGCCCTGATCCGTGAGGTGTTCTGGGGCTCCTTTATCCAAAACGTACCCGTGAAGAAAGGCATCCGTGATCGTCGCTGCCGACTGTTCCGGCACCGGCCAGGCCATTGGCCATCGAGAAAGGTACTCTACACCCACCAGCAAATACTTGTTTCCCCGCGGGGTGGTGGAGAAGGGACCGAGCATATCGAGCGCGACGAGCTCATTCACACGAGATACACAAATCGATTGGAGAGGGGGGCACGCCAATTTTGGTGGAGGTTTTCGGCGGGCACATGCAGTGCACCCTCTCAGCACATCCTGAATGTCAGCAGCCATGCCGGGCCAGAAAAAGTTGAGGCAAAGGGTGGACAGGGTATTATTGACCCCCAAATGCAAAACGCCTTCATGCGTTGCCCAAATCAACTTGCCCCGGAGGATGGTGGGAACGACCACGTATTTTTGTAATTCTGTGCCCCATCACATCAGGAGGCCCCCTCACAGGATCACCGTGGATAACACTCGTCAGCTCTCACCCTCCACGGAGTCACAAACACGGCGCCTAAAGGTGAGCAAGGAGGCGTCCTCCACCTGGAGTCGCTCCCACTCGGTGTTGGTGAGACCGAGCGTGTGGTCACTCGTGTCAGCTGCGTTCATGTGCACGACATTGGCTGCAGCGACAACCGTACGGGGCGGAGCTGAATCGGCGGGCCTGCACCGTCCCGCGCCCGAAATGCACGCGTACTTGTCACCGGGTGGTAAACGTGACAATGTGTCAGCATTCATGTGGCGGACGAACTTTCTATACGAAATTACGAATACATAGTCCTGAAGGACCTCAAGCTGGCCGGATGGCTGCTCAACACGCACTTCTGTGGCTTGAACTTCAATTTAGCAGGCCGCATTTTGAGTAAAACAGCCCGCAACCTCTGTAGGTGCTCCTCGAACGTACGTCCGAATACGATGACGTCGTCCAGGTAAATCAAGCACGCGTCCCATTGTAGGCCTGCTAACACCAGCTCCATCAGCCGTTGGAAATGTGGCCGGGGCTGAGTGAAGTCCCATCGGAAGCCGGTTGAACTCAAAAAGGCCCTGGGGCGTGCGGAATGCAGTCTGTGGCCTCGAGCTGTCATTTAAAGGCAAATGCCAAAATCCCAACAGTAAATCAAGCATGGGGAAGAACCGCATCCCCGACAAAGCGTCCAACGAGTCGTCCATCCGCGGGAGCGGGTACGCATCTGCCACGGAGACTTTGTAGAGTCTGCAGAAATCCACACAGAACCTCAAACTGCTGTCCTGTTTTTTAACAATAATGATGGGCGCCCCCCATGGACTGTTGGAAGGAGAGATAATGGTGGCATTCAACATCTCGTCAACCGCGTGGTGCACATGGTCCTTCTCCTTGACTAAGGCGATAAGAGTTTTGACGAATGGGGGCGGAGTCTCCCGTATTAATGTGGTGGCGCAATAGAGGCATGCAGCCAATATCGAATTTGGATCTGCTAAAGACATCGGATAATTCCGTTAAGAGTGCACACAGATCGAGCCTCTGTGCCATTGACAAATCTTTGCTCTCGGAACAGAGCGTGTCTAACCATGCCCCACAGCCGCTGCAACACCTATGTTCCCACCGTATTTTCCTCTCAACATGCGGCCGATGCATGAGCCAAGACAGTACCCTCTTGAATCAACACCACGTCCGGACCGACGTTCAAAACTTGGATGAAAGGTTGTCGATCGCTTGCTACCAATGTCTGCGCGCAGACTGAATTTTGGGCGCGAACCGCCTTGGTGGAGGGAACCACCATGTGGAACCGTGTGGTGATCGAGATGCTTCCTCAGATGCAAGGGAACCAGCATCTGCGCACCGGGGGGAATTTTCACCTTTTGGTTTGCCATGGCAAGGACCGAAACATTCGCTGTGCGAAAAAGTCTGTGATGATAAAAATGCCATTCGGCGGCCCGACGGTAACTCAATGCAGCCCTGATCCACTAGGATTTTGAGCAGCATTTTACCAAGGAAATCGGTCCCTAACAGACAGGATACGGCTAAATATTTAGAAATTAGTACCGAACTTGTCAACATGTCACAAATGGCAATTGTAGCCAAAATCTGACCGACAATTCCTAAAGACTGGCCGTTCGCGGCGAAGCAGGATATCGAAACAGGTGAAATGGCACGCGATTTTGGCGGGTAGCACTCAAAGAAACATTTCTGAAATGATGGTGGCCCATGCACCGGTGTCAACAAGGACCCGCACCTCAACACCCTCGACAGTCCCCGCAACCGCGGACGAACCCGCTGCCGCCGCGACAATACGGCGTGACAGGGCCATCACTTGCACGGGGCGCCGGGGCCAACCGGTGCCCGCAAACCCCCGATCGGAAGGCGACGCATCCTGGTTTGTCTTTGTGTGTCTCTCTCTGTGTGTCTCTATGTGTCTTTCTGTGTCTTTGTGTGTCTCTCTCTGTGTGTCTCTGTGTGTGTTCTCTCTCTGCTTGTGTGTCTGTCTTTGTGTCTCCATGTCTGTGTTTCGTCCTCTCAAATGTAGCAATCTTTGGAAGAACGTAATCAACCAGGTGGGGTATTGGCTCTTGTGTTGGCCGATTCTGGTTGTATATCATTGTATTTCTGAGTTGACTGTTTTTTCTCATTCATTCGTACCTGATTATGTTTGCGTGTGTTGCAATCTTAACTTCGTATTTTATTATTGAATTTATATGCTTTCTACGTGACTTTACGGAAAAAAACAAAGAGTAATTCCTGCAGTCACGAAAGCTTTGAATCTAGTTTAAACTATGAACACTCTGAGTCCGATAGCTAGGTGTGGCTATCTGCTGCTATGTGCATGCGAGTTAAACTAAACGAACGGGTCAGCAGCACACATGTCGCCTGACCCACGAATCCCAGTCAAGACTGCACGACAAACGAAGAGCGAAGAGCTTCCAGTTGATCCCCACAGAACGAGCCCCGAATCCCCTTGGCGCTCCCCCTTTATTTCCCTGGCCGTGGCCTCGCTCCGCTTTCGGCCACGCCCCTTGCTGTATCAAGACCCATGCTCCCTGCTCCCGGTCACGTGTCCCTCAAACCACCAATGGAGGCTCCCGGCGCACAGCGGCACACCAGAAACCGTGGCTGGCGCAACACGCAGTGACTATTTGTGTCTCTACACATGCATTCATGTTAATGGAAGTAATCTAACATTTGTTAAATTTAATAAAGTAATCCTATGTGTCCTGACTTTGGGGCCATCCTGTATATAACCAGAGAGTAATAACGGTCGACAGACTATCACTTGGGACTGAATGGCTGCTCATCTGGGCTTCTGGATTTCGGTTCAATAAATAGAAAGGGGTGATGCAAGGCTGCTCACACATTGCTGAAGAATGTCAGCAATGGGTAGATGAGACCATGGATTGTGTCCGTTTCAGACAGCGGAGGAAGAAGTGACATCTCACTAAGCAGTGATCAGCACGAGTGCTGTCCTTGGTAAAACGAGTCGTAGAAGTGTCATTAACTCGTGTTGTAGAGTACATACTGCACTGACAAGGGCTTGCTGGCTGAATTGTTTAGTTTTTATTATGAAATCTATGTCTGCTGTCATATAATTAGCAAAATTAGTTATCCTATTATGCATCAGCAGTCTCCTTCATCTGGGAATGATTTTTAAAAATCTGACAGATTATGAACTAAAAAACTCTCGATCACAGTAACTACATTTAAAACGTTTCTACATTATGCACTATTTATTTAGGAGCAAATAGCGATTTTGCGTAACTTACTGACAGTAATTTCCCCGCACTCTGTTCACGGGTCCCAGTGAAGGGACCCTGCCGCTGTGTACACGTGCTGAGTATACGCCAGGGGAGACATCCATGAGCCTCGGCCCACCCACCTACATGGATGTGACCAGCGAAGACGGTGAGTGATTTTTCCTTCTGCGTTAAACGTTACGCGATCACCTGTTCAAAACTCGTAGTCTTCGCATTAACCTTAATGTGGACTCTTTATCAATGCAGGCGAAGTGCACGTCTCCGAAGAAATTAATCACGGTGATGCAGTCGTAAACGACGATGCCATCCGGAGTGTCGTCGAGAGCAGCCAGCTCTTCTCGCCGCGCGGTAGCCAGAGTCGAGATTCTCAGCCTCTCGGTACGCACTCATCAAATTCTATTCTCACACGTGATGGCAGCGGCAATGTGTTCAAGAGCTGAATCTCAATGTCGAGGTCTGCCAGCTACGAGAGGGCTTCGGGAGAAAGAGTTTGTGTCGTTTTTGCTATTCATCCTCCATTGAAGGAGTGCAGCCTACAGTGGTTTACTATGCGGTTCATAGTTTGGGTTGCATGCCCACAATCTCACAAGTGTGGCGTGTTTTTTTAACACATCTCTATGAGTCTCTATTTGTCTTTTTGTGTCTATGGGTTTACCAAATGGTCCATAGTTTGGGTTGCATGGCCACAATCGCTTGTTCCTTTAATTTAACATTTTCAAAGGAGAGTTGCGCATCGGCCTCATATTGATATTCTGATGCTGTTGATAGTTACACCACCAGTGGTGAGTGGGTGGGTGAGTAGGTGAGTGAGTGAATTGATGGTTACACCACCAATGTCTTCGAGGAGGAGGAATGTCCGAGCCAGGAGGAGGAGTGATGATGTTTGAGTCTCAGACGAGGGGTTTATTCTGGATGGGAGGTAATCCCCTCCTCACGATGGCTCCATCGGTTCCATGTTCTTGTATCACCTGAGACACGGCTAACATCATCGTTTACGCAAAATGGACATCCTTCATTTGAATCCAGATTAATCAAATAACGACACAAGCCGGCACGCCAGTCCATGGAGGGAAGCCTGCACTGTGTCTGGGGATTGGCCGGCACGAGGAGTCGTGTGCACGAACGCTCACAGTGCAAACACAGACACTCGCGTTGGGCCCGCGTGTTCACCCACACACGCGATGACGAATTATTGATATTTTGGAAATTTAAAAAAACGTGTGTTTCTTGTAAAACTATTTTAACGTTTTAATCTCTATAGATAAACGGCGTTGCTTTTACAAATAAATCATGAATAAACACAGCATTGAGTAGTCAAATGCCTTCATGCATTTACAAAAGTTTTTATTAAAAATCTAATAAGTTAGGATGAAAAAAAATTACTTCTCTGTACTACCAAGTTTGGTACTGGCAACACGAAACGCTGGCGCGTTGTATCTTGATGGCTGCGTTGTTGCTATGTATGTACATATGTTGAACTTCTTTTAGACCGTACATAGCCAACCATGCTAATCGGAGGTTATTCGCAGTGCAAGTGCAGAAAGCTTTGTTTATGGCTGAGTTGGAGGCTGCGAGTCTGAATTTGTGCGTTGGGTTAATGACAGCTAAGTTCATCTGACACGTCCACCCATCTGCCCTGCCCCAGAAAACAGCGGAGACGAGACGATGGTTCACTTACTGGCTGGATTCGAAACAGATGTTGGCACTCGTCAAGAAAGTGCAACGCGAGTTTGCTCAGGAGATACCGAGAGGGGCACGGGAGAATATAGATCACCCGCAGTGGCCTTGCTGAATAGCAGGGACACCGTCACCTGTTTTGAAGGGGGTGGGGATGGTGATGAAGATGAGGAGGAGCTGAGCTTCGTCATGACGCAGCCGTGGGATGCGGTCGCGCACAGGTACAGGTACACTACAGCTCCACTGCAGGTACAGCTACACTCCAGGCACAATACAGGTACAGGTACACGAAAGCTACACTACAGGCACAGCTACACTTCAGGTACACTACTGATACTGGTACACTACAGGTGCGCTTTCAACCATGTGCAAAGAGTCACGTGGGTGCTGCAATGGGGAATTGATTGAAGTGCACTGTCACAGCATCTCAACACCTCTCTGTGTCCGAGCGGGTTTGAGGGAAAGGCAAAACCACCATATCGGTATGGATGAGCACCACCAAAGCAGTACCAGAAGTTTATGCTTGATTCCGTATTCCTTGACTTTATACATAAAAGTGTAGCCTTCATGTGTAGTGACTGACTTGCAGACATAACTTCTTGGAGGCAAATCTTTAATTAACACCGAGCACACTTTTTACACTCGATACAATACACACCCTACACTGTTACACACTCTCTATCTCTCGCTTATACGCAACTCTACACTGGTTGCGAGCCTACAACGCAACGCTAGCTGTCTGAAACTGACGGCACTGAACCGAGACAGCCAAATATGTCTAGCAGCGCAATTATCAAGTGGAGACGACAGCGACAAAGGCACGAGACGACAGGGGCGATGGCGACGATCTTCAACAGCAACGACGATGACGAGCCCACTCCAAACAACAACCCCGAGTTCCCGCTCGGGGTCCCCTTTTATCCTGTTAGTGTGGCCTCTCTCCGCCCCGGCCACGTCCCCCTTCTGGATCCTACAAGCGGGCTCTTGACGTGTCCCTTACATAACCTTTACCCTAGATCCCTCTCGGGTCTATCACGTGGCCTGCTGTCAGTCAGGGCTGCTACAAGCTGAAAATCCCCTTCCCTGCCAGCAGCAAGCGCTATGCTACTTAGTGACCAATTTCTGTCACTACATATGTATGTGATCCCATCTAAGCAGGCATAATACACATTGTACTTGTTGCTTCTAAAATAATTTAGCAAACTGAATGATGAAACACCAGATTGCCTTGCATTGGCATTTGAATATAGTTTGGTTATGATGTTTAATGTATTTTTCAGAGAAGTTCATTGCGACACTTTGAAGAACTCTTCAGGGGAGCAACAGGAAATTATTACCTTGCCTAAGATCGCTGCTACGACACATGACAAAGGTTTGCCTCTGAACACATGAGCCTGAGCACATTGCTTAGTATTGGCTGCATGATGTGCAATAAGATTTTCTTGTACTTGCTGTTAAGATGTAGTTTTACCTCTAAACTAAACGATTGTTTTTATTTACCAGGTAAGGCCCACTGAGCTATAAAGTTTTTTTTTCAGAAGCGACCTGGCTATCACAAATGATAGCTCAACAAAGTGGCTTATTGTGTGTAAATTTATTGCAGCCAAAATACTCTAAACAAACATTTATAAATATTCTCTGGGTCTTTCGGTAAATGTGGAGAAAAAAACCGGAGGACCCGGAGAAAAATCTACATGAACACGGGAAGAGACAGAGAAATGCAAACTCCAAATCTATTATACAGGCATGAGGATCCACAACCTCCGGCGTACCTGGCGAGGTAGTTAACATCTTGCCACTGCAGCGCCCCTCTGTGCTACTGTGAGAGGTAATGTGATTTTGAATTGTGTCTTTCGTGCAGATACCAGTGAGACACAGGGCACAGGGTGTGACTGCCTTGCACGGCAAGTGCCAGCAAGAGCCAACAGTGACGTCGGCAGCGACGCCCATATTGCATCCTCGGCCTCTTTGTTCAGCAGGAGCGGACAAAGTGCTGCCTCATGCGACTATCGCCATGGTGCCTCTGCGACCTTTGTCTCAGGTTTGCCTGAAACGTCTCGTAAAGCCAAACACATGGAAGCTGTGGCGAGGGATAGCTTTCCGTCTGGAAGTTGCAACGTCAGTAGTTTTGGTAAAAATCTCGATAAAATATCTCCATTGTCTCCACTGGCGATGTTACTTGATAGTTCATTCAATGTGGAACAAATATCGAGGGAAGAATATGTTGTCAATAAACAAAAAAGTGCAAGAGATGAAGCAGATACGCACGATGAGTGCAGAAAACATGCCAAACAAACAATAACCACTACAAGGGTCTATCTTGACACTGAGAGCTACTCCAGTGTAATGCCGATGTCTCCGTGCGGAGTGCAGAGGAGTCCACCAGTGATGATTAATGACAACGCACTCAACTTTGACCGTATGCGACTCAAGGGGGACAGGAAAATGGCTGTTGAAGTTTCAATGTTCAAACCGTGCCAATCACCATCATTTCTCAGTGACCTTAAAATTTCAGTTGTAAAAAATGAAGATGCCATTTTTTTCCCAGATAGGACGTCTAAATCATTTAGCAGTCCACCTTCAGAAAACAGAAGACATTCAGTAAATGATACCACCAAGGTGGTATCTGATGATACAGAATATGTCCAGCATCCTGGTTTTGCCTCTTATTACAGTTCATGTATCAGTGACCATGACTGTGAATATTCAGATGTCATGTCAAAGCTGAGCTACTGGTCACAGCATAGCTCTATGAAGGATGCGGCCTCTCCTCCTCAGTGCTGGTCCCCAAGTGACTCCACGATTGAGTGGCGTTCCCTGCCATCCAATTTGCCAACGCTCACCCAACCTGAATTCCAAACAAACAACAAAGTGGTGGAATCTCGATCGCGCGAGAACCTTTTGATCACTTCCGAAGTAAACGAGAAACAGGACAACTTGAATTGGTCTTGTGAAATAAGAGCCATAGAACTAGAGAAACACAGAGGGGACTCACTCTCTGACACTGCAATTCACGATAAGCCTCTTCAAGGCCAAGCTCAGGGCCCTGCATGCGCTGTGGTGCCCACATCTCCCATGAACGCCGCCTGCGCTTCACCATGCCATTCGCTTACTGAAAGCTCTGCGCGGGTCGCGGCTTTACAGGTACCCACCGCCTTGAAGAGCACCGTGGCATCGGTTGCAGACCCTACGCAGGATACCTGTGCATCTCGTACGCTATTGCTGAGAGCTCCGATTGTTGCCTCTGATTCTCAGCCTTCTCTGCCAGCCTTGGATTTTCAGCAGAAGGCCTGTAATTCAGAACTGTCGTCGATAAGCATGGCAGCTCGCATCTGGAAGTCTGATCAAGTGTGCACCGACTCTCTACGCTCATCATGGTCATCAACGCCTTCACAGAAATTCATGGCAAAACCATTAATGTCACCTCCAAAATCTAGCAAAGTGCTGGCAACAATGACAAAATACAACCTGCCAGGGACCACATACCAAGGTGCCTACTGCAGTGATCCGGCCGATGTTCCTGCAAAAGAGAGGTAAATATGATTTTTTTACATAGGGTTAGAATATTACATTTAATAACCATAACAGGTTGATTTTAATGGTGATGAAATGGAGAAATTCAGTCATTTACAGTGAGGGAAAAAAGTATTTGATCCCCTGCTGATTTTGTACATTTGCCCACTGACAAAGAAATGATCAGTCTATAATTTTAATGGTAGGTTTATTTGAACAGTGAGAGACAGAATAACAACAAGAAAATCCAGAAAAACGCATGTCAAAAATGTTATAAATTGATTTGCATTTTAATGAGGGAAATAAGTATTTGACCCCCTCTCAATCAGAAAGCTTTCTGGCTCCCAGGTGTCTTTTATACAGGTAACGAGCTGAGATTAGGAGCACACTCTTAAAGGGAGTGCTCCTAATCTCAGCTTGTTACCTGTATAAAAGACACCTGTCCACAGAAGCAATCAATCAATCAGATTCCAAACTCTCCAGCATGGCCAATACCAAAGAGCTCTCCAAGGATGTCAGGGACAAGATTGTAGACCTACACAGGGCTGGAATGGGCTACAATACCATTGGCAAGCAGCTTGGTGAGAAGGTGACAACAGTTGGTGCGATTATTCGCAAATGGAAGAAACACAAAAGAACTGTCAATCTACCTCGGCCTGGGGCTCCATGCAAGATCTCACCTCGTGGAGTTGCAATGATCATGAGAACGGTGAGGAATCAGCCCAGAACTACACGGGAGGATCTTGTCAATGATCTCAAGGCAGCTGGGACCATAGTCACCAAGAAAACAATTGGTAACACACTACGCCGTGAAGGACTGAAATCCTGCAGTGCCCGCAAGGTCCCCCTGCTCAAGAAAGCACATATACATGCCCGTTTGAAGTCTGCCAATGAACATCTGAATGATTCAGAGGACAACTGGGTGAAAGTGTTGTAGTCAGATGAGACCAAAATGGAGCTCTTTGGCATCAACTCAACTCGCCGTGTTTGGAGGAGGAGGAACGCTGCCTATCACGGCCTTTAAGCTGTGTGAGAGGATTAGCTTGTGACTGGTCACAAAAATAGCTATGTTAAAGTCAAAGCCTACACATCAACAGAGGCGCCTGGTACAAATCAAACAAGATAATTTAGCATTGAATAGCTGAGGGATTAGCTTGTGACTGGTCACAGAAATAGCTATGTTAAAGTCAAAGCCTTCACATCCACCGAGGCAGCTCGTACAAGGATGCCAAAAGGGGGCTGCAACAACTCAAATAAAATACAGTAAACCGATGTGAAAAAACCTGAGTCCAAATTACATCAATATAATAAATGTACTCAATATATTCTTCAATAAGCAGAGCTATTAACAGAAACTGGGTATACACTACACTATATAATGAATACCACATAGTAAACAGATAAAAAACTAAAATATAAATTACCTCAATGTTAAATTTCCATTTAAAGCTTTCGTGACTGCAAGGATTCATCTTCTTTGGTTCTTTCGGTAAAGTCACGTAGAATGAGAATAAAATCATAAATTTATAAAATAAAATAACACAATAATATTCTCACGACGTTTCGGCCACAATACAAGCGGCCTTCATCAGGTGAAGGGGACGAGACTGTCTGGAGGACAGCGACTCCAGTGCTGAAGGCCGCTTGTGTTGTGGCCGAAACGTCGTGAGAATATTATTGTGTTATTTTATTTTATCAATTTATTATTTTATTCTCATTCTACGTGACTTTACCGAAAGAACCAAAGAAGATGTACCTCAATGTTAACAATGCTATATAGCATCGTGACAATAAACTCTATATATTCTCCAATCACGATGCTATATAGCATTGTTAACTTTGAGGTAGTTTATATTTTAATTTTTAATATTTTAACATAGCTATTTAATATTTTAACATAGCTATTTCTGTGACCAGTCACAAACTAATCCCTCAGCTATTCAATGCTAAATTATCTTGTTTGATTTGTACTAGGTGCCTCTGTTGATGTGTAGGCTTTGACTTTAACATAGCTATTTTTGCGACCAGTCACAGGCTAAATCCCTCAGCTATTTCAATGATAAATTGTTCCTGTTTGATATGTTAGCCCCTTTGTCAAGGTGCCTCTCTTCTCTCAACCAGCTTAAAAGACGCTACGAATCTTAGCAGCGTTCATTGGAGCTCTGTCGTCCCGACAGTTTTTTGTTCCTTCACTTGAAGAAGGCCGCTTGTGTTGTGGCCGAAACGTCGTGAGAATTTTATTGTTTTATTTTAATATTTTATTCTCATTCTACGTGACTTTACCGAAAGAACCAAAGAAGACTTGGAGAAGATCTGCAAAGAGGAGTGGGACAAAATCCCTCCTGAGATGTGTGCAAACCTGGTGGCCAACTACAAGAAACGTCTGACCTCTGTGATTGCCAACAAGGGTTTTGTCACCAAGTACTAAGTCATGTTTTGCAGAGGGGTCAAATACTTATTTCCCTCATGCGTTTTTCTGGATTTTGTTGTTGTTATTCTGTCTCTCACTGTTCAAATAAACCTACCATTAAAATTATAGACTGATAATTTCTTTGTCAGTGAGCAAACGTACAAAATCAGCAGGGGATCAAATACTTTTTCCCTTACTGTATTTAGTGTTGCAGTTGACGGACCCTGCAATGGTTTAATAGTTATCACATTGGACTTTAAAGCCAGAGGTCACAGATCGATTTTCAGGCATGGCAGTTGAATAAAGAGACAGGTTTTTTTTAAATCCCCCTCCCACTTCTGTCCACCAAGCAGTAGAATTAAGTTCCCCTCAGTTCCCATTGTAGCAATTGTTTTGGCGGTGTCAAAACAATTGTTACAATGGGACAATCTTGTTTTTATGTTTTTAACAATCTGGGTATCAACAATAGCATTTTGTCCATTCGTTTTCACCTTGTAATTGAACTAAATCGTCTCTTCTGAACAGAAATGTAGATTTCGCTGTCATCTGTTCCTATTCTACATGCTCGTTTCCTCTATCCGGACCAGAGGGTTGACTGTCGTCCATTCTGGTTGTTTGCTAAAGCTGTTATCTACGGTTTAACACAAGCTTTCACGACCAATATTATCAATAATAAAGGTTTTTTGAGTTAGATTGCGTGAATATGAATGTTTCGTTAAACCCGCCACTACCCTCCAGCCAATTATTAAGGTTTGTCACGTAAACAAAACGTGCCAATTAGTTACACTTCAGCACACCGGTGTGTTGGAGAGTAAACCCACAACATTTACAATTCGAGTACGACATTCGTTGGTAATTATTAATAGGCCCATGGTGATAACATCACCTTTACCCTTCTATTTAAGACAAAAACAGGAATGCTTCTTCACAATTCTGACTATCGCCTGATGATGCTAGTTGTAATTACCAGCAGAAAGTTGTACTCGAATTATAATTGTTGTGGGTTTACTCTCCAACACACTGGTGTGCTGAAGTAACTAAATGGACTTTTTAACTTGATAAACCTTACTAATTGGCTGTCGGGTGGTGGCGGGTTTAACGACACATTTATACTTATGCGCTCTAACCCAGAAAACCCTGATTATGTACTTATCAACAGTTTCTAAATAACTTAATTTCCATATTCTTAGTTTTTTCGGTAAAATCACGTTGAAGGGAAACAACAAAATAATAAAAAAATATATAACATATATATTATTATTTTGTTGTTTCCCTTCAACGTGATTTTACCAAAAAAAACTAAGAATATGAATTACTGCAGTCACGAAAGCTTTAAATCAAAACTTAATTTCCATCAATAAAGGGTGACTCTGGGTCTGTAATTGATGCAAATGACGATCTCTTAAACTACTATTTTGGTTATCAAATACTGAATTTGGAAGCCAAAATAAAACTCCACCGTAACGCATGATGTGTGTTGTGTGATATCCCAACGTGATACTTCTAAAGCTTGTGGTCCTGATAATATAAGAGTTTGCATCCTTGTTCATACCAGAAAAGGTAGAGTATTCCATCAAGCAAAGGCCTTAGTGGCTTCAGAGCATTGACACATTAGAGCGTAAGGGAGTGATGTAGTGGAGCGATACTCCAGTGTTGTAGTGCTCAACTGTAGCTTTAGTATTTTTGTTCACGGATAAAGCTCTAATTCATGTGGGACTGCATATTACATCTGATACATTTTATGTTATGTTCACATATGTTCACGTTATGATTAACACTTTAAATGTAACACAACATAATTGTTGTTTGGTGTCCCAGGGAAGTTGGTGAGAGGACACTCAAGGTGGAGTTGAAACATGGTACTGACCTGCGCGAGAGTGATGGGAGGTTTGCTGCCCAAGGCTTGAAGCACTGGCACGCTGTGCGCACCGCAGTAGCGCAGACTGAAGGCCACGTCGCCTCTGTATTCAACCCTGGTGAATTACAGACACGTGAATTAGAACATAGTGATATCCAAGATTATAGCAGAGAAGATAAATCAATTCACAGCAAATTGATTGTGGTGATGTCTCCTTGTAAAGTTCCACCGAGTATACAGAAAGTACGCTACTGGTTGAAAGCGAGGCATCATTATGAGAAAGCTAAAGCAAAACTCGCAAGTGCCGCTTTACCAAGAAACACAAGTGCCTCCAAAATAGCAACTGAAGGGCGTCCCTGGCAGTGGGAAGGGCACAGCACTAGGGCTGTCGTTTCTCATAATTACTTGGGAGTTGGTGACCAACCAGACGCATCAACAACGGTTTTTCCTAGCGCAAAAAAGGACATGTTGGAGGCAGAAATCGGAGAGTCTGCTGCTGAAAATGCAAAGATATTGGTGCTGTCCCCGGTGAAACGACCCTTTGCAGATGTGGCACATTGCAGCTCTGGTGAACTTTTACAATCGGAAGCTCGGCAACCAAGTGAACATCACTCACATCAAGAACCTGTAGACCCCCCCACGGAGAGCAGACATGTGGAGGTTGCAGTGCTGCCTACAAGCATAATTCACAGCACCCCTGTCGCACCCAGAGTCAGTGATAAAATGAATCTTGCAACAGTGTCTCCAATCCCCACAGCTTGTGCCTCTGAATCTGCAGGTATGACGACTGGATTTTACATTCACAGAGATTATATTTCGATTTAAAGCTTTCGTGACTGCAAGGATTCATCTTATTTGGTTATTTCGGTAAAGTCACGTAGAATTAGAATAAAATAATAAAATAACACAATAAAATTCTCACGACGTTTCGGCCACAATGCAAGCGGCCGTCTTCAGGTGAAAGGTACAGACCTGTCGGGACGACAGAGCTTCAATGAACGATGTTAAGATTCGTAGCGACTTTTAAGCTGGTTGGGAGAAGTGAGGCACCTTGACAAACGGGTTTACATATCAAATAGCTGAGGGATTAGCTTGTAACTGGTCACAGGAATGGCTATGTTAAAGTCAAAACCTACACATCCACAGAGGCAACTAGTAATTTAGCATTGAAATAGCTAAGGGATTAGCTTGTGACTGGTCACAGAAATAGATGTTAAAGTAAAGGCCTACACATCCACAGAGCTTCAATGAACGCTGTTAAGATTCGTAGCGACTTTAAGCTGGTTGGGAGAAGTGAGGCCCTTGACAAAAGGGGGTTTGCATATCAAATAGCTGAGGGATTAGCTTGTGACTGGTCACGGAAATGGCTATGTTAAAGTCAAAACCTACACATCCACAGAGGCAACTAGTAATTTAGCATTGAAATAGCTAAGGGATTAGCTTGTGACTGGTCACAGAAATAGATGTTAAAGTCAAAGCCTACACATCCACAGAGGCACCTCGTACATGGACGTATTAAGAGTCTTAATACCTCTCACACCACGGTTAATGGTATGGTTTATAACATGAAGTATAACAGCGCCTCGCAGCTGTTTCTCCCCTTCTTCCTCCTCCGCTCCAATCATGGATGGACTCGTCCGTCTGAACGGGGCTCGTAGCTGTCCGTGGTGCTGAAGTGGAAGGTAAGAATCCACCCGTTTTTTCACCATATAACATTGTGATATAACATTGAGGTAGTTTATATTTTAGTTTTTATTGGTTTACAATATGGTATTCATTATATAGTGTAGTGTATACCCAGTTAATGTTAATAGCTCAGCTTATTGAAGAATATATTGAGTACATTTATTATATTGATGTAATTTAGACTTAGGTTTTTTCACATCGGTTTACTGTATGACAGTTGAGTTGTTGCAGCCCCCTTTGGCGTCCATGTACGAGGTGCCTCTGTGGATGTGTAGGCTTTGACTTTAACATCTATTTCTGTGACCAGTCACAAGCTAATCCCTTCGCTATTTTAATGCTAAATTACTAGTTGCCTCTGTGGATGTGTAGGTTTTGACTTTAACATAGCCATTTCCGTGACCAGTCACAAGCTAATCCCTCAGCTATTTGATATGCAAACCCCCTTTTGTCAAGGGCCTCACTTCTCCCAACCAGCTTAAAGTCGCTACGAATCTTAACAGCGTTCATTGAAGCTCTGTGGATGTGTAGGCCTTTACTTTAACATCTATTTCTGTGACCAGTCACAAGCTAATCCCTTAGCTATTTCAATGCTAAATTACTAGTTGCCTCTGTGGATGTGTAGGTTTTGACTTTAACATAGCCATTTTTGTAACCAGTCACAAGCTAATCCCTCAGCTATTTGCGCAAGCTAATCCCTTAGCTTTTTCAAAGCTAAATTACTAGTTGCCTCTGTGGATGTGTAGGTTTTGACTTTAACATAGGCATTCCTGTGACCAGTCATAAGCTAATCCCTCAGCTATTTGAGATGTAAACCCCTTTGTCAAGGTGCCTCACTTCTCCCAACCAGCTTAAAAGTCGCTACGAATCTTAACATCGTTCATTGAAGCTCTGTCGTCCCGACAGGTCTGTACCTTTCACCTGAAGACGGCCGCTTGCGTTGTGGCCGAAACGTCGTGAGAATTTTAGCGTGTTATTTTATTATTTTATTCTCATTCTACGTGACTTTACCGAAATAACCAAAGAAGAAAGATATTTCAAACATTTTCAGTCAAAAACGTAATGAAATTTTGTGTGCCATTAATTCAATGTGTTTGTCTTAACCATGCCAGTTAACAACATCATCTCGTCATTATTGCTATGTAGCAGTTGCAGCAAGCGATCTTAACATTGCTGGCTGGGCACTAATTGACCCGAACATTTTGGTGTAGTGCAAGGGCAGAGTGTGGAAGAGGTCATGGTGAGAGCCAATTTGCTTTTACGCTGAGAAGGTGTCGTGATGAAGTGCGGATCGGTGATCACACTCCATTACTCGATCACCTGGGCAAATCTCCCTGAGTCTCAAGACTTTTTTTCAGGAGGGTCCTGCCACGTTTTCACAGTAGGAGCGCGATGTTGCTATTAAGTGTAATAGCAATTTATTAATTTGCAGGTAATTTTTTCTGCATTGGGATGTTTGGCCAAAACCATGTGACTTGTTTTCTTAACTATGGGAGGAAACTGGGGAACCCGGTGGAAACCCATGCAGAGCAGAGGCAAAGAGAGAACGTACAAACTCCACAAAGAATGGAGCCCCAGTCGGGATTGCAATTCGTACTTTTCTTGCTGTGAGGCAAGAGTTTTACCACTGCACCAATCCGAACGTGTTGCTATTTAGCTGTTAAATACCTTATTGAATGTCTTTAGGTATCCTTATTTCTAGCAAAATATAATTTTTTGTTTGGGTTTTATCCGTTACAATTGATTTTACAAACATCTCCAATTGTAAGTCCGCCCCCCACAATTGGATTCCCTTGTGGCGTGCGTGGCTTGTGTGGCGTGCTTGTCGTGCGTGGTGGGATGTGTGTAGTGTGGGTGGCGTGCTTGGCATGCAAGTCAAAGTGTCTCCCAGATACAATGAGCATGACGTGTGCTCACCTCCATAGTTTTTCCGAGGCATTTGTTGAACCGGTCTTCACGTGTAGCCACCAGTCTTGCATCCCAACAAAGCACTACTTATTTTACCAACCCCGGAGGGAAGATATACGCTCAGTTTGTGCCCGGCCAATCCTTCTGATTTTTCCAGTTGAGCGTTCTAACCTCAGCAACGTCCATAACCAAACTTTAAACCTTTAGGACTAGATAGTGATCCACTGTGTAAGAAAATTCACATGTGGTAAATTGATAAACATTAGATGAATGTTTTTTTCTGTAAATGATCAGATGCCGTTGCTGAGGATTTGCCGAAGAGGCCAGCCACTCTGCAACGCATGGTGTTTAAATCCCAAATTAAGGTAGGGCAGGGATAATTCTCACTTGTGACATTACAGTTCGTTCGGTGCTCTTGGTGTGCTGTTCATCTCTACTTCTGTTTTGTAGAGAAGGATGTTCTCTCCAGGTGAAAAAGAGACGTCACAAATAGAAGGGCCAACACTGAACAACACCTATGGCTTTAAAATCAGCCAACAAAACCTGAACAATGCAAAATCTCTCCACGAGGTATGTGTTCAAAGTTGCTTTTATTCATGCAATACTGGGTGAATATGTCTTGACTTAAAGCTTTCGTGACTGTAGGAATTCATATTCTTTGGGTCTTTCATTAAAGTCACTTAGATAGGTTCAAATGAAATAACAAAAACTACGTCGTTTCAATCACAACACAAGCGGTCCATAAGTTTAAAAAGACGACATTATTTTCAGTGGTGTTGGGTGTTGGTGGTGGCAGCGCACGTGGCTGCCTGCAACCCAGCACTGTGGAGGCACACACACACACACGCGCGTCTGGCAAACTCCCTGTGTGCATCGAGGTATCATACCCTGGCTTGCCAGGAGAATGTGGTACAGCAAAAATGTGGAATCCACCAGTTCTGTCTTAATGGGATAGATTGTAGGCCCCCTTGCACACGTCGGTTATCACTGGGTGCTCCACTTTCCTCTGACATGTAAACACTTCTTAATTGGATGTTAACAACCTCAAATATAGGGAACTGCATTGCTTGGGGGAGGGAGGATTTGGTTGCGGCTCACCACATGGCTGCCTTTCCCACTTGTCTGCGTTTTTTAGCACCTGAGTTGTTTTCTACCACCACCACTATTATCCTCACCAACACCACCATCACTACTATCCTTATGAACACCAACACCACTACCGTCATCTTCTTAATCATCAATAGGGTCTTCATCGGTATCACCACCATGTGTTCCCCATGTTGTGTAAAACTAATTATTACTGGCAAAGACTAATTAGAGAGTCCATTGAAATTAAGAGGAATAGAAATAACTTTAATCGTTCTGACAGCTACGTTTAGTGTGGCTTACTAACGTAGCATATAATCACAATAACACACATTACAACTAATTACTAATCTACAACTCATTACTAATCATAACCATTGACTGATTACCAATCGATAATATAATTACAATACCCCCCCTCCGCCTCAAATCACTGCACCTGAAATGAGTTAAATGATGACGTCACCCTGCTGCTCTATTTAAGACTGGGAGCAAGCGAGGGCTTTACCATTCTGGCGAATTGCCCGATGATGCTGGATGTAATTACCAGCGAAACGTTGTACTCAAAACTGTAAATGTTGTGGATTCACTCTTCAAACACACCGGTGGGCTAAAGTAGTGAACTATTTGTCTTTTGTCAACGTGACACTTTTTTTCTGATTGGCCGTGTCGGGTGGTGGAGGGTTACGACACATTTATAAATAACGCGATCTAACCCAAAAACCTTTATTATGTTCCCCATGGTTTGCGTGGTGGTCTCGGGGTTTGCTTGGCGGTATAGGGGTTTGCGTGGCGGTCTAGGAGTTTGTGTGGCGGTATAGGGATTTGCGTGGCGGTCTAGGAGTTTGCATGATGGTATAGGGGTTTGCGTGGCGGTATAGGGGTTTGCATGGCGATTTAGGAGTTTTCCGCAAGGGGCTAGAGGCAGGCAGCAGCACGTGGTGTCCAATAGGCTTCGGCCCCAGGCTGAGTTGTTGCGGGAACGAAACTGACATTTCACAGACAAGGCCTAGGTGTAAGGGAATTGTAGCCATGTCATTGGGATGGTAGCACCTAACAGAAAGAAGCACTGTTCTCTGTTGACTTTATACGTTGTCTCTCCCCTTCTTCTGCATGGTTTTCCTCTGGGTTTTCTGGTTTCCTCCCCATAGGTAAAAAATAATGTAAATTCAGAGACAAGTTGTAGTTACAATGATATGGCCAAACATCCCAATGACAACAAATTACCTGCAAATTACTGAATTGGGATTGCACATAGGGAAAACTGAGCAGGACCCTCCTGAAAAAGTCTTGAGACTGAGGTGTTCCTGGGTAAACTTGCATCATAATAATAATAAAAGTTATAAATAATGATCGACTTTAACAATGAGATTGTATGTGCCCCAGATCCAGCATTTAACCCTGATGAGCATGGAGATGCATGCCCGCTCGAGAAAACACCTCGTTCCCGATCCCAACTTGGACCCAGTCTGCTGCATCTTCTACCACATCATGTGTGATGCTCCTCTGCCAGGGAGAGACGCAAACGATGTGACCGGACTTATTGTTCAAGATGCTGCGCACGGCACAGCTCCAGGTACATGGCAGGGTTTGTCATGGTGGCCTAATGTACAAAAACCAGGGTTATTGGATTGTGTGCCTATGCGGCATGCATGGTGAATCATCAGTTGATGGCTTAATCAAAATGCGTGTCGATCAGGTGGCCCAGTGGTAGGGCGAGCGATTCACAATCGGAAGGTCGCAAGCTCAAATTCTTGTTGAAGGTTGACTAAGCCCATTATCCCTCTGGGGTTGATCAAAAGTGGAAAAATTTGTTTCAATTGTGTGGGGAAGTCAACAGTGGTTGTCATCTGGATTAACTTGCCCCTGCCATGATAATGCAGAAATGACACCACTTGATCAGGGCTGTAGCCAGATTAGTACTGCCTCAGTGCTAATATGAATAGGAAATCATTATAATATTTGTCTTTGCCCATATTACATTTAGACTACAGAATGACCAAGACAGATGAGACCAACAAGATCAATGAGGCAAGAGAATCAACCTAGATCCTGACAGTTCGTTGCTATGGGAGATAGTTTTCTACTTATGGTGACGCGGCCCAGTGGCAGCGCGTTCGCCGCTTGTTGCAGAGGTTCATGCTAAAAGTACTATGCACCGTTTGATTAACAGTGGACGTTAAAGATCCTGTGATGTCATTCAGAAAAGTAGGACATTGTGTGCCGGTGTCAGGGTCCAAATTTGCCAAATAATAAAAAAAAAATACCCGAAAACTACTCATTTGAGATTTATACGTAACAATCATTGCTCCCTCCTGCAAAAACTTGGCCGGATCCTCCTGAAAAAGATCCACAAGACCTCAGTGAAGCTTATCTAGGTAATGAAGCCTAATACTAATAATAATCAAGGGCAGTCAGATTGCTTCAATGCATGACACAATCTGACTGCAATAATGAGACTATGTATGTATGATGGACTCATTTCGTACCGTACATAGCCAACTGTGCTAATCGGAGGTGCAGGGGCAGGACAACAAACTTAAACACAAAAGCAGTTCAAAAGAAATGTGTTTTTTAATCTAGATTTAAAAGTGCATACATCCAGTGGCTTCCTAATAAATGAGACAATGTGTGGTAGAAGAAGCTGGTTATAAGCACACACCATGGCAGCAAGAGTATTTGTATCAGCACTTGCCTCACCAGAGTCACGTCAATGACAGGTGATGCAGGAATCACTTGCATTGCAGTTCCATTCAAATATTGTTTATCTGTTAACAGTTCAATAGTCTACAACCAAAGTGCACTGTTTTCGGTTCTATTGGGAAAAAAATAACATTTGAAATCTAAAACTGGGCTAATTAGAAGGCTCTCCGTCCATTTCAAAATTAGTCAATCAGCTGGTCGCATGTGGTAGGGTAAAGTGTGGGTACTCCCACCTCTTCTAGATTTCTGGCCAGTGTGAATGTCACATACGGGAAATTACATTCACTGGGAGACTCTTTGGTGTTGCAGAGTAACTTATTTTTGTATTGGAGACAAATGGACACGAAGGAGATGGCAGTATTTACTTAACTTCAGAGTGATATGCGGCAAAACACTACTCTCAACAATGTCCTGCAGAATACAAATGTGTGTGTGTGTCGCTATTATCACTGAAGTGCTGTTACTTGTGCATTACAAGTCCAAGTTTGTGTCTCAGTGTAGACAGCACCCTGATGACCCTTGCTTGAGCTCGTGTTCAACACCATGAAATCACAAACATGGTAGTTTTGATGCTGTCAGTCAGGTAGTTCCACCTCATTACGGATCAGACTATCATAGTCCCCACCGCGGAACAGGGCTTTCTTTGTCTAAATAGAAAACTCATTTTTTTAGAACTTCTTTTTGTGTTTATTTCGTTGTCCTTACCCTGCACCTCCGATGAGCATGGTTGGCTATGGTGCAAAATAAGTTCAACATTCAGGCAGTCCTCAACTTATAAACACCAGACTTATGAATACCTGCATTTACAAACCAGCTTCCATGACATATACATTTTTAAACATTGAATTAAAACGTGAACTCGCATGAGAAAACTGAACCACGGAACTATTTTGTTCAACGGAGCGATTCTCCGCAAGATGTAATGAGTCAGCCTCATGCTGGAAGTGAGTGTTTGTGTGTGTGTGCACGCACAAACACTCACTGGCTCCAGGTTAACAGCAGAGGTCTCACTCCGAATCAGTCGAGCGGCAATATCTTTTCATCGGTTACGTAACGCTGTGTGGAAGCTACCTGGTCTGTCGCTCCGCACTAAGCTTCAGGTCTTCTCGGCCACGGTCATTCCCTCCCTTCTCTACGCTTGCGAAACGTGGACCCCCCTAATGGAACATCTTCGCCGGTTAGAAACATTTAGGCTGGCCTGCCTACGATCCATCCTGGGTTTAACCAGACTGGATTGTGTGAGGAGCTCACAAATCCTTGAAAGATCTGGGCAAGGTCCCATCGGTGAGCTCCTCCGGCGGGGAAGGCTGCGATGGCTGGGTCATGTAGCCCGCATGCCCAGCAACCGCATGCCGAAACAGCTTTTGTTCGGCCGGATTGAGGGGGCTAAGCGGGCGCGGCACGGGCTAGAGAAGAGATGGAGTGATGTGGTACAGGAGGACGTGGAGCTGAGTGGACTTGCCGATGACTGGTAACAGCGGTGTCAAGATCGGCCTCTGTGGAGGAGGCTCGTGAAGGACGCTACTGGGCAGTTGGAGGTAGTCGCCCTCCAACAACAACGGAGGGCGGAGGAGCGACGCTCAGAACAACGAGCGGAGCGCCGGGTGGCTAAAGCACAGCAGGTTGGCACAGTAGGGGGCACAGGTGGTGCATCAGCCAGTCATCTCAGTCAGTCGACCCGTGGCACCTGGGTCTGCCCCGTGACCTCCTGCCAGCGGGCGTTCGACACTTCACGTGGCCTCAGGGTGCACATAGCCTGGCACAAGCGTCGTGGTGACGTCACCGCCACTTAGTGGCGAATGGCGGTTGTTGTTGTGCACGCACATGCACGTGTGTGTAAAAGTGAGTGTGCATTGTTCTGCCCCTTGAGTTACATGAATACAGTATTTTCGTCATTCATTTCTTTTATTGCATAATCTTCTCAATGAATTATTGATAACTACTTTTGCCTTGGGAACATGTTTCTTTATTACTGTTCGTATGAATATTGTCACATAAATTTTTTTTAGGAACTTTTACTATCGCCGTGTATGCTCGATCGACTCTGAGAGATTTACCGATTGTTCTGTGCTGAGTTTAACAAACGTAACCATTGAGGGTTAATTGTACGAATCAATGAGTAGGACATCTCCAGGAGTACTGTGTTGACAATTCCGAGCATAAAGTGTTCGCATATGAGAGTGTTTTTAGCTATAAAAAATTGCTTAGCACAAAAGACAGTGATTCCTTCCTAAGTTCATGCATAATAATCTTAATTATAAGACCTGTATCCTGCGGTGAGATCTGAATTTTGAGACATGATATAAAACAAACTAAAACATAATCCGTAAAAGTTAAAGCGAGAATCATTGTGGAGAGTGAAATACGCGGTGCGCACAGTTAACCAAGGGCAACTGAGGGCAAACGGGTGCGCGTGTGCAACATGAGGTATGCACGGACAAACCGCCAGTTGTTAAAGGGAAAAGCAGGTGCAAACGGGGTCGACCGGTTGGCACGTTGAGACCGGTGGTGTTGCCAGGGAGACGGGAGATGAGGGTTGATTGATGGGCCAGCAGGCGCGAGAGGTCTCGGATAATTAGCAGAGGGATATAAGGGTGAGTGCGTGAGCGGAGGGGGAGTTGTTGCCAGGGACGAAGAGTGAAGACATCTCCTCACTGCCGCTCCAGCCGTCAACGGGACTTCAACCCTCACGCCGTCGCCGGGCGGGTGTTGGCTGATCCCCCCACCCGGGACAGACGGGTGAGCGAGTCTGAGGGAGCATAGGTGAGGGCAATGGTGGAGATGTAGAGTTGCTCTATGCGGAGACACTGTGTGCGGAGACGCTGTGTGGAAAGCGCTTGTGTGGCGGCTGATGGGGGAAGTCTGGGCATTATGGGTCAGATGTTGGCCTCTGTGCAAATTGGGGAAATCTGTTTGGAAGGACAGATATTGGTTTCACGGACGTTGGCCGTGCCCTATTTTGCTGGGCACTGATTTTTCAGGCAGGATGCCCTTGAAAATTCTCATTGACCAGGAGTGTATTGAACTACCATCGGGACAGCGGTTGCTGTTTCTGAACGCCTCTAGTCGACAGCCATCGCAGAACGCTGTCATTCATGCAATAGCTAGCTAAACCGTTGAAGTACCTCCGGGTTCTCAAATGCTCGTGCCGCTGCGATTGCGCAAAGAGTTGCTTTCACCGGTCCCGGAGATGGGTGCTAACCCCTTCTAACGCCGTGCCACGATCTCCTTCCCGAGCGGGGGCTATGACTATTGTATCCGCCGAGCAGATGCCGTTCCTACAAGTACTTAATGCGGGGCATGCGCCGGTTGTGATTCAGGCGGGCACTATCCTGGCGCATGCCTCGGCGGCCGAGTATTTTGATAATGCGGAGCCAGCCCCTGGGATCGCGGGAAGCGTTGGTAGACCTGATGAGCCGGATTCCACATGGTTGGAATCTCTGTGCTCCGAGAACCCTGCACTGACAGAAGTTCAACGAGCTTAGCAGCACCGGCTCTTATATGATTTTTCCGATGTCTTTAGCATTAGCAAATTTGATATTGGATGCACTCCTCTCCTCCACTATCATATCGTTACGGGCGAATGACCCCCAATTCGGATTAATTCGCACAGGCTTAGCCCCGCAGAGAAGGAACAGTTATGCCAGGCTGTTGATGAGATGCTGGCAGCTGATATTATTTCCCCATCCAATAGCCCGTGGGGGGCGCCCATAGTCCTAGTGAAAAAACGTGATGGGAACTTAAGATTTTGTGTTGATTTCCGCAAGTTAAATAAGATATCGGAGGCGGATGCATATCCCCTCCCTCGTATGGACGACTCGCTAGATGCGTTATCGGGTGCACAGTTTTTTTTCGACAGTCGATTTACTGTCCGGGTTTTGGCAATTCCCCCTCGATGACGAATCCAAACCAAAAACCGCTTTTCACAAGCGAGCGTGGGTTAGGGTAGCAGTGGAGATGTAGAGTTGTGTGCGGAGTCGCTGAGAGCAGAGCTGCTGAGTGCAGGATACAGTGAGGGAAAAAAGTATTTGATCCCCTGCTGATTTTGTACGTTTGCCCACTGACAAAGAAATGATCAGTCTATAATTCTAATGGTAGGTTTATTTGAACAGTGAGAGACAGAATAACAACAAGAAAATCCAGAAAAACGCATGTCAAAAATGTTATAAATGTATTTGCATTTTAATGAGGGAAATAAGTATTTGACCCCCTCTCAATCAGAAAGATTTCTGGCTTCCAGGTGTCTTTTATACAGGTAATGAGCTGAGATTAGGAGCACACTCTTAAAGGGAGTGCTCCTAATCTCAGCTTGTTACCTGTATAAAAGACACCTGTCCAAAAAAGCAATCAATCAATCAGATTCCAAACTCTCCACCATGGACAAGACCAAAGAGCTCTCCAAGGATGTCAGGGACAAGATTGTAGACCTACACAAGGCTGGAATGGGCGACAAGACCATTGCCAAGCAGCTTGGTGAGAAGGTGACAACAATTGGTGCGATTATTCGCAAATGGAAGAAACACAAAAGAACTGTCAATCTACCTCGGCCTGGGGCTCCATGCAAGATCTCACCTCGTGGAGTTGCAATGATCATGAGAACGGTGAGGAATCAGCCCAGAACTACACGGGAGGATCTTGTCAATGATCTCAAGGCAGCTGGGACCATAGTCACCAAGAAAACAATTGGTAACACACTACGCCGTGAAGGACTGAAATCCTGCAGCGCCCGCAAGGTCCCCCTGCTCAAGAAAGCACATATACATGCCCGTCTGAAGTTTGCCAATGAACATCTGACAACTGGATGAAAGTGTTGTGGTCAGATGAGACCATAATGGAGCTCTTTGGCATCAACTCAACTCGCCGTGTTTGGAGGAGGAGGAGAAATGCTGCCTATGACCCCAAGAACCCCATCCCCACCGTCAAACATGGAGGTGGAAACATTATGCTTTGGGGGTGTTTTTCTGCTAAGGGGACAGTACAACTTCACCGCATCAAAGCGACGATGGACGGGGCCATGTACCATCAAATATTGGGTGAGAACCTCCTTCCCTCAGCCAGGACATTGAAAATGGGTCGTGGATGGGTATTCCAGCATGACAATGACCCAAAACACATGGCCAAGGCAACAAAGGAGTGGCTCAAGAAGAAGCACATTAAGGTCTTGTAGTGGCCTAGCCAGTCTCCAGACCTTAATCCCATAGAAAATCTGTGGAGGGAGCTGAAGGTTCGAGTTGCCAAACGTCAGCCTCGAAACCTTAATGACTTGGAGAAGATCTGCAAAGAGGAGTGGGACAAAATCCCTCCTGAAATGTGTGTAAACCTGGTGGCCAACTACAAGAAACGTCTGACCTCTGTGATTGCCAACAAGGGTTTTGCCACCAAGTACTAAGTCATGTTTTGCAGAGGGGTCAAATACTTATTTCCCTCATTAAAATGCAAATCAATTCATAACATTTTTCACATGCTTTTTTCTGGATTTTCTTGTTGTTATTCTGTCTCTCACTGTTCAAATAAACCTACCATTAAAATTATAGACTGATCATTTCTTTGTCAGTAGGCAAACGTACAAAATCAGCAGGGGATCAAATACTTTTTTCCCTCACTGTGAGGTGAAAGGTAGATAAGAGTGGGGAGAAGTTTACATAAGTGACTGTATAGAAATCAGGGGTGGGGAACCTTTTTTCTGCAAAGGGCCATTTGGATATTTATAACATCATTCGCGGGCAATACAAAATTAATTTTTGTTGCTATGAAAAAATCTCCTAGATGTATTGAATTTCGAGTCGTGCGGTTGCCTTGGCAGGGCCAGACCAAATGATTTTGTGGGCCTTATACGGCCCACGGGCCGGACGTTCCCCACCCCTGGTATAGCTAGTTATAGGAGTGCCTACAACTGGTGCAAGAATAGGTGAATAAAGTGTAAGCAGGTGATTTGTTACAACATGTCGGTGTGAGTAATATTCTTGGTTCTTTCGGTAAAGTCACGTTGAAGGGAAACAATTAAATAATAAAATATATATAAAACAATACATTATCACGACGTTTCGACTGCAACACAAGCAGTCATCATCAGGTGTGAAAACCAACGGCAAGAACATTTGAAAGAAGTGGCAGTTTGTATTTATTTATTTTTAACGTTAGCACCACAGCGATTTGACAGTTTGTTTAGATGGACGAGTCCATCTATGTTCGGAAAAGAGGAGGGGGGAGACAAAAAATTAATGTATGCTGTCTGAAACCCACCGTAAGCGTGAACAATCAATTAAGGCCCGAAATGGTTTATCAAATCCTTCCAATGATTGCTAAGCCAGAATCTATCTTCTCGGTTGAAATTGTCTCTGTGTTTGTATGTGGATAGCCTTATGAACGAATCTCTCATGGTAGCCAGATGGCTTGCAAAGAACCTCTGTCTTGGAGAAGTCAATGTCATGTGAGTCTACTGAATTATAACAGTGATCTGCCACGGCCGAGGTGTTGGTCCTACCGTGTTTAAGGTCTGCTTTGTGTTCACGAATGCGGTCCGAGACATGGCGTTTGGTTTCTCCAATGTAACTACTACCACAGAGGCACCATAGTTTGTAGACACCAGGGTACTGTATATCCGGAATCACATCTTTTACAGACAGAACCAGATCACGTATTTTATGTAATGTGTTGAAACAGACCTGGAACTTGTGTTTATTCAAGATTTTGGATTTCTTTTTTTTTGTGATCCCCGCAATATAGGGTAAAGTGATGGTTTTAAAGGCTCCTCAAGTGGGTCCTTCTTCATGGTTTGAGTGATAGCTTTGCGGATTGTATAGTCGGAGTAACCATTAGCCTTTAGAGCTTGGTGTACGTGCTTGAGTTCACTGCCTATGTGTTCCTGGTCGGATATGCATTGGGCTCTATGGTGCAGAGTCTTTATGAGAGAATTCTTCTGTGATGGATGGTGGTGGGAATCCGGTTTCAGATAAGCATCCTTATTGGTAGCTTTCCTGTAGACAGAGTGGCTCATTGAACCATCATGTCTCTTTTTTTATTAGGACATCCAAAAAGGGTAGCTTGCCATCTTTTTCGACTTCCATGGTAAATCTGATGGCTGGGTGTATGGAATTGATGTGGTCGAAGAATTGGTCTAGAGCAGGCCGGCCATGTGGCCAGATGACAAAAGTGTCATCCATGTACCTCTTCCATAAGGTTGGGCGCAGAGTGGCAGTCTGGATGGCGTCAGTCTCACATTTCTCTATGAAAATGTTGGCTATAACCGGAGATAGGGGGAGCCCATTGGGGTGCCCTCAGTTTGTTTGTAGAAAGTTCCAATCCAAGTGAAGTATGTATTGGTTAAGCAGTGTCTCACCAGGGGGGTACCTCAGTGTTTACTCCTTGATGAACCAAGTCTTCAATGATTGCGATGGTGTCAAGTGCAGGAACTTTGGTGAATAAGGAAACTACATCAAAACTGACAAGCAGGTCGTCTGGGGACAGGGAAATACCCTGGATTGTCGATACCAGGTGAGTAGAATTTTGTACCGCAGAGGTGGTTTTTCCAGTGAAAGGCCGCAGGATTTCCGACAGAAAACGAGCCAGTTTGTAGGTGGGGGAGTTGATAGTAGAGACGATGGGACGAAGGGGTCTATCTACTTTATGTATTTTTGGTAAGCCGTATAATCTTGGTAGCCTGGCAGCAGAAAGTGTGAGTAATGTTTCAAGACACTACAATTGTATTATCACGATTGGTAATACACCCCTAGACAACGAATCCGAGCCTAATTAGCATAATTACATACACTTGCATAATTCATACAATTACACCTTCATTTTATTATCGCAATTGGTAATGCCCCTAGGCAACGAAGCGGAACATAATTATATTACCATAAATTGTATAATTACACATTTTTTTCATTACATTTTTATTATTTTTCTCATATTTCAAGACCTAATACCATCAACCGGAGGTGAAGAATGGTGGTGGTAGTTGCTAATGCCCCCATCGAAGATGAATATCAGTGGTGGGATGTAGGCAAGGTCGATGAGTCAGATGCCTTCTATGACCCCTGTCATCGGTGCTAGCTAAAGTGGCCGCTCGGGATAGATTCAATGTGTTTGGTTACTTTAATGCCCGAGTATGTCATCATGCTGGCACCTGGGCTGAAGTGATTGAAAGACATGCGCCAGGTCCGGTTGTAACCAGTCGAAACTAGTTTGCGAACATTAAAAGCAACTGCATCAAAACATGAAATTACAAAGACCCCAATGTACAGTGAGAGTGTAAGATCACAATATAATTACAGTTAAACATGAGGTCAAACACCCTATGTGCCTTAACTCCCCCCCCCTCCCCAATTAGTCTGAGTGTCTCACTCTACGGAATTTGAATGTAAATGTATTATTGACATCCATGTGTATTTTCTAGGTTCTAAAGATGCTGGTCTACCGGCAAGGTCAGAGGTGTCTGGCCTTGATGTAATTCACGTCTCGAAGGAGGACCAACTCTTCCATGAACTGGAACAAATTGTACATAGGTCAGTCACAGGTTAATATTGTTGTCTGTACAATACACACAATACACAAATACACATTCTTTAGGTTACAGTTGCAACACTGAGTTGATATGTTTGGGGTATTTTGTCCTGAATATATGTTTTTGTTGACACGAAAGTAAACAATGTTTGACATTTGGCATTTTCACATTTCAGTTGAATCTTTCCAAGTGAACTGAAACACGTTGTATTGTCTTGGCCCTACTTCTAGAATTATATTCAGTTTGTGTGATACAGATGCATGTTGTGTAAATGTTAAAGTCAAGATAAAAGATCAAGACTGAGCTACTCCGATTAGCACGGTTGGCTACGTACGGTGCAAAAGAAGTTCAACCAACATACATATATGCTTCATCATGACCAAAGCCGTTGATGCCATTACCACCCCGCCAGCGCTTTCTCCCCTGCTGCACAGTCAGCACGCAGCAACCTCCAAGCTCTACTATGACAGTAGCCCTACAATCTTACTCTTAGGTCTTCCCCTTGGTCACCAGGCTCGTGGAGCCCCCACTCCCAATGCCTGACTTGGCAAACAGCCCTCCCCCCATCATTCAAGCTGTTTTATATATTATATTGTGATTTTTTTTTAATAAACATTTTTATTAAAAAAGAAAAATATGTATTTGTATGATTTTATGCGTTTTCATAAAATTATGCAAATATATGCAATTATGCAAATTAGGCTCGGCTTCGTTGTCTCGGGGTATATTACCAATCGTGATAATACAAATATTCTTGCTTTAACATTTACTGATTATGTTTTAGCTAGTGTAATTATGTCTGGTCTCAAGATACAGTTCTTATAACTAAGATAATTATGCATGGACTTAGGAAGGAACCGCTCAGACTCTTCTGTGTTAAGCAACTTTAATATCTAAAAACACTCTAATAAGCGAACACACTTATGATCGAAAATTGCCACCACAGTACTCCTGCAGATATCCTACTCATCGATCCATACAATTAACCCTCAATGGTTACGTTGTTAAACTGAGCAATTGAACAATAGGCTAACTCCTCATAGTAGCGCGACAATACACGACGATAGGAAAGTCCTTAAAAATTACAATATTCATACGGAACTGAGCAAAATAAACATGTGCCCAATGACAAAAGTGTACATCAGTGAATTAATTGGTAAGATTATGCAATTAAAGAAATGTCCTGAAGAAGTGTACATGCGAGTGTGTAGGTTTGACTTACAGATGCTTATCAATTGGCTAATGGGACATCATTGAATTCGTTTCAATGTTGTGTGATTAAAATAAATATCTCAAAACAATAGTATTCATGCGAGTGTGTAGATTCGTCACATAGGTGCTTATAAATGTTCAGTGTGTCATCAATGAGTTCATTGGTAATATTACATGATAAAATTAAACGAATGACTCAAATACTTCTAAATGACCATATTCATGCGGTTCAAGGGACAGAACAATGCTTTTCACGACTAGCTAATAGTTATATTCTTTGGGTCTGCAGTCACAAAAGCTTTAAGTCAAGATTAAGCTAATAATTAACACCACCATGGGATGGCAACCCTTTTCGAAGCAAAACTTCTTGGAACAATTTTATTCTTACCAATATGCACAGGGTTCCATCTTTTGTTCTCTCTTTATGTCAATGACTTGGGCACTGACTTAGATCATTCCAGGGTAAATCTTTTTGCAGATGACACGATACTGATTACTGCTGGCCGCTCTCCGGATGACGTGATTGCTAAGCTACAGGGTGATTTCAACAAACTACAACATCAGCTAGTTGCTCTTAAACTAGTCCTGAATACCTCCAAAACCAAGGTGCTATGCTTCTCACCAGGACTAAAGCATGAAGTAATTTTCCCCAATTACATTCCTTAAATAATTATCAAATAGAGCAAGTCAAGATCTATAAGTATCTTGGGGTCATCCTGGATTCAAAACTGAATTTTGAAGATCACATTGATTATATTGGTAAAAAGACAAAAATAAAAATTGGTTTTCTGTATTGACACAAGCACTGCTTCCCCCCAATGTTCTGTTTGGAATTGATAAAAGCTACCATACTGCCTCTACTTGACGACCGTGACATCGTGTATAAATCAGCCCCAAGTACTGTACTGAAGAAGCTTGATTCCATCTATCACTCGGCCTTAAGATTTACATTGAACTGCCCATATAGGACTCACCACTATGATCTCTACATTGGGTCATACTTAACATCTCTTAATGTTCGACGGCTTGTGCACCAGATCTTATTTATTCACGATGTACTTACAAAAAAATCCGCAGACTACCTGCTGGATCTCTTCTCTGTTTCAAAGAACAAATTTGACCTCAGGTCTTTGCTCATTTACCAGCTTCACATTCCCTATTGCCGTACAAAAACTGGAGGAAGGGCCTTTGCTATTGATGCCCCCAGGGTCTGGAATGCTATTGCCAATAAACTGCAACTTGAATCGCTACCAATGAGATCTTCTCTCAAAACTGCTCTAGAGGAGTTGTACACCCCTAGCTGCCACTGCTATTCATTGCCGTAAAATTAAATAAAATGTTTCGCTCCGGATGACGCTGCAAAGTATTATCTGTATTTTGATTTAGCGTGCTGATCTTAAAGGTGCATTGAAAAATTTGATACTCCGACTGATGCTTCTGTTGTTGTGGAGTAACTCATGCAGCCAGCTATGGCTCTAGAATTTGGTGTTACATGTTATTTATGTAGTTTATTGTAAAAATTCGGTCACAGTCCCTGTGATCACTGTTACGTTGCAATTATGGCTTTATTTTTTGGTGATTTCGAAAACTTTTTTGGTTTGGACATGTTTATTTTGTTGTAGTACGGAGTTAGACTGATGGCCTTAATCTAAGTTTTCTTGTGGTTGTTGTTGTTTGACTTGCATCCCACTGGGATTTTTTGCACACAGCGTTGGTGTACGGTGCTTTTTTTCAGGAATATTTTGCTGTTTTTTTTCATGGATTTTCTGTTTGCACAGTCACATAGTCACTTTAAGATGTTTTTCTTGTTCGTGTTTTTGTTTTTTTGTTTGTTGTGGTTGCACTCGATTCAAGAGCCGAATGGCTCACAGGGCTATACCAAAATATATCAACTGAAACTGTGTTGGAGCGCAGTCACCACGAGGTCCAATGATTATAGCGGGCAGTATGGTTTGAGTTGTCCACTTACTATTCCTCCTGACTGTCCTGCTGAGGTCCAGAGGCGAACTTTGTCGTGCAGTGTTCTTTGTACCGAATTTACCGCTGGTCCCCAGCCAGGGCGCTGGGTCGGCGTGTGTGTGTGTGTGCCGAACACACGGCGCTTTCGTCTGCGCCGTCAGTCTCTTTCTACCACTGGGGTGGTTGCTGAGTCCGCACGCTGCTCATGCTGGCAGCGGTGCCCGTGCTGGAATGGATGATGGGTCCGGCTCCATCTGCGTTGATGTGCGCGATGGTCCCGTCGCCAGATAGCGCTCGCAGCTCATCCGCTGGGCGGCAGCGGGTCACCCCCCTTGGCACCAGACACTGTTGATCCTTAGGCTTGACCTTTGCTGGAGTGTGCTCGAGGCTTCCGAGTCAGTACGTCTGCAGATTATCTGCGCGCCCAGGTTGATTAGCAGTCGGAATGCCTGTGGCCGCGCCGCTCCTCCTTGTTTCAGCAGCTTGCCTCGTGCGAGCACCCTTGACGCTCCCCGCCCTTCCCCCAGGAGGGCTCCTACTGTGAGCTGCTTGTCCGCTGCTCCTCACTTACTCTCTAAAACTCATAAAATGTATGCACACACCTCTTAGCTTCTCACAACTGTTATAGCTTAGTACAATACAACTTCTCGCAGTCCTTGACTCTGCAAGCGACTCAAAACATAAGGATAAATGTAGAATAAAACTTTCAGCGAAACTCCGTCTGTCAGCGCCGAACTCAACACTTAGCAACACATTGCCCCTCTCCTCTGCAAGACTCGACATCTATGGTTGATTTCGAGGACCATACCCCGGAGCTTGCCGTTGCAAGACTGGTTTGGGTGGTTCGGCTTCTTTGTTATATCCGATATGTTTCGCTTTAGCTCGTCTTCTCACAAAGGACCGGAATTCCTTTGATTTCGCTCCTCGGCCTGTGATTGGTCCTCTCACGATGGAACAACTGTCCTTTTGATTGTGACCGTTTGTCCGGTGTACGTGTGTGTGTCTGTCTGTTCTAATTTATGTCATTTCCTAAGTCACATCAAGGCCCGACCCCTCTCCTCTTCCTTCTGTCATCTCATGGCCTGTTGACACAGATGCTCTCAATTGCCCCTAAGTGCAGTTATTCCAGTTTTACAACTTTCCGTAGTAATTAACCTCCAGATGTCCTCTGTGTGGGTGAGGCAGGGGGGGGGGGGGTTCCTTTTGGCCTTTTGATGTCTCGAGGGAGGAGTTCGCAGGTATGCGTCACTGCAATTTTTTAAAACGATTACATACAAAATAGGCATTATCACTCTTAATATATGTTTTTGGGAAAGGCATATATACAACAAAACGCGTCCCGTTGAGTGCAGCCATTCTTGCTGAATAATATTAACCACACTAACTAACCTCCCATGTTCTCTTCGGACTTATGCATGCTTGATCCTGTCTCGTTACGGAATTCTCAGCATTTGTCTCAGACGCCTGAGCTCAAATAACAACTTATTTAAAAGTTGCTTAGTTATGGTCCAGATCTCTGCTCATGACTGGCTCTGGCTTGACAGCAGAGGTCTCACTCCAGATCAGCCGAGCGGCATTTTTTCATCAGCTGCATAACGCCGTGTGAAAGCTCCCTAATCTGTCGCTCCACACGAAGCTTCAGGTCTTATCGGCCACGGTCATGCCCTCCCTTCTCTATATTTGTGAAACGTGGGCCCCCCTAATGGAACATCTTCACCAGTTAGGAATATTTAGGCTGGCCTGCCGGTGATCCATCCTGGGTTTAACAAGGCTGTATTGTGTGAGGAGCTCACAAATCCTTGATAGATCTTGACAAAGTCCCATCGGTGAGCTCCGGCAGGAAAGGCTGCGTTGGCTGGGTCATGTAGCCCGCATGCCTAAACAGCTTTTGTTCGGCTGGATAGAGGGGGTTAAATGGGCATGGCACGGGCTAGAGAAGAGATGGAGTGATGTAGTACAGGGGAACTGAGTGAACTTGCCGATGACTCGTACCAGCGGTGTCAAGATCGGCGTCTGTGGAGGAGGCTCGTGAAGGACGCTACTGGGCAGTTGGAGGCAATAATGGAAGACAGAGGAGTGACGCTCACAACAACGAGCAGAGCACCGGGTGGCTAAAGCACAGCAAGTTGGCACAGTAGGAGGCACAGGTGGTGCATCAGCCAGTCATCTCAGTCAGGCAACCCATGGCATCTGGGTCTGTCCCATCGCCTTAACGTGCACATAGCCAAGCACAAGCGCCGTGGTGACATCATCACCACTTAGTAGCGAATGGTGGTTGTTGTATATACACTCGTGTGTGTATGTACAGTGAGGGAAAAACCTGCTGATTTTGTACGTTTGCCCACTGACAAAGAAATGATCAGTCTATGATTTTAATGGTAGGTTTATTTGAACAGTGAGAGACAGAATAACAACAAGAAAATCCAGAAAAACGCATGTCAAAAATGTTATAAATGTATTTGCATTTTAATGAGGGAAATAAGTATTTGACCCCCTCTCAATCAGAAAGATGTCTGGCTCCTTTATACAGGTAACGAGCTGAGATTAGGAGCACACTCTTAAAGGGAGTGTTCCTAATCTCAGCTTGTTACCTGTATAAAAGACACCTGTCCACAGAAGCAATCAATCAGATTCCAAACTCTCCACCATGGCCAAGACCAAAGAGCTCTCCAAGGATGTCAGGGACAAGATTGTAGACCTACACAAAGCTGGAATGGGCTACAAGACCATTGCCAAGCAACTTGGTGAGAAGGTGACAACAGTTGGTGCGATTATTCACAAATGGAAGAAACACAAAAGAACTGTCAATCTCCCTCGGCCTGAGGCTCCATGCAAGATCTCACCTCGTGGAGTTGCAATGATCATGAGAACGGTGAGGAATCAGCCCAGAACTACACGGGAGGATCTTGTCAATGATCTCATGGCAGCTGGGACCATAGTCACCAAGAAAACAATTGGTAATACACTACGCCGTGAAGGACTGAAATCCTGCAGCGCCCGCAAGGTCCCCCTGCTCAAGAAAGCACATATGCATGCCCGTCTGAAGTTTGCCAATGAACATTTGAATGATTCAGAGGACAACTGGGTGAAAGTGTTGTGATCCGATGAGACCAAAATGAAGCTCTTTGGCATCAACTCAACTCGCCGTGTTTGGAGGAGGAGGAATGCTGCCTATGACCCCAAGAACACCATCCCCACCGTCAAACATGGAGGTGGAAACATGCTTTGGGGGTGTTTTTCTGCTAAGGGGACAGGACAACTTCACCGCATCAAAGGGACGATGGACGGGGCCATGTACTGTCAAATCTTCGGTGAGAACCTCCTTCCCTCAGCCAGGGCATTTAAAATGGGTCATGGATGTGTATTCCAGCATGACAATGACCCAAAACACACGGCCAAGGCAACAAAGGAGTGGCTCAAGATGAAGCACATTGAGGTCCTGGAGTGGCCTAGCCAGGCTCCAGACCTTAATCCCACGGAAAATCTGTGGAGGGAGCTGAAGGTTCAAGTTGCCAAATGTCAGCCTCGAAACCTTAATGACTTGGAGAAGATCTGCAAAGAGGAGTCGGACAAAATCCCTCCTGAGATGTGTGCAAACCTGGTGGCCAATAAACGTCTGACCTCTGTGATTGCCAACAAGGGTTTAGCCACCAAGTACTAAGTCAGGTTTTGCAGAGGGGTCAAATACTTATTTCCCTCATTAAAATGCAAATCAATTTATAACATTTTTGACATGCGTTTTTCTGGATTTTGTAGTTGATATTCTGTCTCTCACTGTTCAAATAAACCTACCATTAAAATTGTAGACTGATCATTTCTTTGTCAGTGGGCAAACGTACAAAATCAGCAGGGGATCAAATACTTTTTTCCCTCACTGTAGATTGTGGGGAACGGGAGTGCAGCGGTTAGTGCACTGTTCTACAAACCTGACAACCCGAGTTCGATTCTTGCTCATGGCCAATACCAGTGACGATTATCTGACCCAGTCCTGGGCCTCCATGTGTATGTTGATATAATGTTAAATCTGAAATTATCTCATTCTGATCCTGCACCTCACAATGTGAGCGTTTACAGTGTTAGAGTTGATTAAATGCATTGATCGGGGGCGTTTGATTGAGGGCCTTGATCAAACTCCTAAAGCAAAGGTGTTATGCCATCACGGGACTCCAGCATGCTGCGTGTGTAAAAGCAAAAAAAGCAACATCACCAGTAGCAACAACACCTTGTGATGGAGACACTGCAACTTCACCTTCTGCTCCTCACCGAGGTGCATTGGCTTCTGGTTGCTGAACGAATGCATTATTAGGTTGCAATCATAACACACAAAGTGCTTGTCACAAATTAATCACAATACCTTGCTGATCTCGTCAAGGAGCATAAACCATCACTCGAACTCCGGTCATCCTCACAGTTAGCGGCTTTAGGGTAACCATCGAAAAAAGATGGTTACCGTATTGCGTGCCTACAGATGTGCTTCTGCGGCCATCTGGAACGCTCTTCCTTCCAATCTAGATTGAAAACTCATTTTTAGAACTGCTTTTTGTGTTTAGTTGGTTGTCCTTCACCGCACCACTGGCTACATACGGTGCGAAAGAAGTTCAACATACCTACAAAGTGGTTTTCATAGCCAAGAAAAGACCCGATCTGCGAAAGTAAACCAACCCTGGACCTCCTTGTCACAACTCCCTGTATTATGGACATCACTGCCCAATTACACAGTTCTCATCATCTTCAAGTCCATCTCTTCATACCAGGATTTGCGCTCCTACTGCAGGAGACCCATTTCTTACTGACACCATTAACCTTGTCTTAAAAGAAAAGCTTGTATCTTCAGACCCCAATAGGTAACATTTCCCTTAGCACACTTACTCCCTTCATTCTTACTTCAGAAGTCACTAAGTGGTGGTCTGAACTGATTTATTCAGCTGTGTATCTCTGGTGTTCAGAAAATATTTCCTCTGTTGTGCCCTGTTTACAACGTACAGGAATACACCACTATCCATAAGTGTTGCGTTCGTAGGAAATCTATTTTAACTCAAAATTGCTTAAAGCGAAGTCTAGATTCCCAAAGACATTGTTAAAATCAGGGGTTTGTTGCAAGCTGACATTTATAGATAAAAACATCTGACTAAATGTCATTAAGAGTATAACAATAGATATGATTATAAATTGACATACATTTTAGCTAATAATAAGTTAAACTAATAAGAAGAAATTAATTAGATAAACCTTATTCTTGGTTCTTTCGGTAAAGTCACATGACTTTACCGAAAGAACCAAGAATATGAATCCCTGCAGTCACGAAAGCATTAAATCAAAATTTAGATAAACCTTACCAGAGATGGTTGAAGAGCTTACTGGATGAGCAGTGGCGGTGTTATGCAGACAGAGGGGAAGCTGCTTCTTCATCTGTCGATGAAGCTGTAGCCACAGCGACGTCCACCAGAGGAAGCTGGTTCTCTACTGGGCTCCTCTCTGGACGTTCTGGCTTCATTGCAGAACATAAAACAAATATGTCCAGAGAGAGCTGGACACTTCCATTTGGCGGAGGGATTTTGATTGATAAGCGCAATGTGTGTACAGTGGTATTACATTACACAACAGTCCGTTTTAACCACATGTGTTCCTCATTTACAAATTGCACGAGCATTTTTTGTGTGCAATGTTTAGAAATAATGCATATGCGAAAAATTATACCTATGAGGATACATGTTCTCTAATTAATCTGCAACATATATGCGAAACAATGCATAATGCTGTAACTTTTATCGGGGTATTCCTGTAATCGATGAGGCTCAGTCTTGCCATCGGTGACCTCCGTGTGAGCTTGTGTAACCTCTTCTGTTCAAACTGTGTGGTACAAGCTATGGAGCAGCAAAAAAAATAAATTAATTATAATTAATCTTTTGCTGCTTCATAGCTTGTGTAACCTGGTTGGATTGTAGTTTTCCTGTCCTATTCCATGCTGCCCTAGTCCATGCCCCCTACTCATACCTGCCTCCTACCTGGATGTTGAAGTCCCCTAGTTGGAGAACATCATACTTCAGTACTATTTTTTGCAGTCGACTTGCCAAATGTAGGATGTGTAACATTACACCTGTTTCATTATGCTCTTACAGGTTTGACCCTGATATTTTGCTTGGGTATGAGGTCCAGATGCTTTCTTGGGGCTACTTGCTGCAGCGAGCAGCTGCACTTAAAAGGGACTTCAAAAGCACCATCTCAAGGATGAAGGGTCAGAGAGCAACAATCACCACTAAACATTCCACCACGTTCGTTTCGGAGCGCAACGCAAGCGCGCCTGTGTAATAGTCGCACCACGCTTAGCTGGGCACTGGTGACGCATACTGGTAACCCAGCACTATGTGAGCGGGGTTTGGATTACACAAGTTTGTGAAGTGCCCAAATCCGCTGGGCGTCGAGGTCACCATCTCCTGGCTTGTCAGAATGTAGCATTACAGCAAGTGGGTTTATTTCCATTTTTTTTTCAATCTGTACGGCGATTGAATGTTACCCATTTGCATGCGTGGGCTTTCACTGGGTACTCCGCTTTCTTCTCACATATATAAACATTCATTAATGGAGTTGACCAAACAGCGTTATGTCGGGCCACAGAGCTTGGGCAATTGTTGCCACTGGTTCTGGCTGCCTCTGAATTTAACAAATTAGTGTATTTATTAAATGAGTATTTATTTTCGTTATTTAAAAAAACGACACAAACTCATTCCTCTTCAAGCACCATACCCGGACAACTTGGGCTCGTTTCTGCATGGTGACCAAACGCTGAGATAAAAAATTCAGTTTTTGCTAATTCCACACCAACATTGCTACAGGGAGTGAAGACTGCTTGACAGCTAAATTATGTTCAAGCAATTGGATGGCTCCATATATGCATTAATATGGTCAGGAATAAAATGTTTATTGGAAGTGTTTTCTATTGTTTTTCAGTAGAACCCACAGAAACTCAAGTTGGTGTTGGAAAGAATGAGGAAGACGATGACTTTCCAGACATTCACATTGGGGGTCGAGTCGTTCTGAACCTGTGGAGCCAAATGAGGTCTGAGGTGAGTTCATCACCTCGCGTTGCCACTCATGGCTCATGGCAAGTGTAGGACATGTCCAGTCTTTAAGCTTAAAGCTTGAGAACTCAACACTGTGATTCATGCTAAATGCGTTCGGGTGACCTGATTATATTCCTGACCAAAACTAACATTCGTGGTAAGTGATCTCAGAATCATTCCTAGACATCCCCACAGCCCTTCACCAAGTAGTACTGACCAGTGTGGTGACATATCAGAATCAGAATATTTACTTATACTGGAGGAATCTGATGAGCTCTAAAGATCTTTTTCACAGATGTTCAGGATGGGGCAGGTCAGAACGTGACAACAACAAGCAATTAAAAAACATGATAGGAGTGCAAAGTATAAGGATGGTAAGCAAATCACTTAAAAAATATACAAATTATAGCTCAACTTTTTTTTATCTTACCAGGCAAAGCCCACTGAACCTGGCCACAAATGATATCTGAAAAAGTGGCTTATCATGTGGAAATTTATAGTAGTAAAATAATCTAAATGATCTAAATGCATGTTTCAAAAATGTGGAGGGAAAACCAAAGAACCTGGAGTAAATATTAAAGTGACCATGGGGAGAACATGCAAACTCCAAAAATACAGGCGTCAAGGTTGATATCGAACCCCCAACCTGCATACCAGGTGAAGAACAGAACATCACACCACTGTGGTGCCCCTTAAATAAATAAATACAAAGAAATAAAGTATATAAGTTCAAATTGCATTAGTACATCTGTAGTGTTGAACACTGAGGCACACACTTGACTTGGAGGCAACACGTTTATTACACAGCCCCAACAGGGCTAACTACATAAACGTACACATGCTAACTAGACCCCAACAGGGTAACAACACTACTTTAACAGGGTAACTACATAACCGGGTCAGTCAGTAACATTCTGACTGACCCACGATACCAAGTGAAGACCGACAATCGAAGACATTGCACCGAGGGTTGATTCCAGAGAACAGCCCAGAATGCTCTCGCGACCTTTCCCGAAGGATCTCGACCGAGCATCACGTGTCCCTCAAGCCCCCCGCGGAGCCCCCCCTCACTACTCTGTCCCAGTCACGTGCCCTCTCGGTTTCACCCAGACTACCATGTTCTGACTGACCCTCTCTCAGGCCGTCACCAGGACTATGCCCCCGAGGGCCCGTTCACATGCCTCACCCACTCTGGCCCCAGAGAGAGGTTCCAGGCGCACAGTAGCACTCTTATGACAGTGCCTGGCGCTAACACCATAGTGACACCCTTAACGTCACTGCACATCTGTAGTGACTGAATTGGAGACACTAAGAGTTGGAGGCACTCTGTTTATTAACACGCACCAATGGGTTAACACTTCCAAATAATCCGTCTATAGTCGACTATGGTTCTCAGTCAGGACAGTTCGTGGACTGCCTGACTGGCGATGCCGAGATGGTGAAGACGGAGACGACGATGAAGACTCCAGCAGCATGACGAGGATCCCACTCCAAACGACAGCCCCGAGGTCCCCTCTCGGGGCCCCTCTTATACTGTCAGCATGGCCTGGCTCCGGCCCTGGCCACGCCCCCTTTCTAGAACCTACCCGCGGGTTCCTGGTGTGTCCCTTCCGTGACCTTTCCCCTAGATCCCCCTCTGATGTATCACTTGGCCTGCTGCTGTCAGGGCTATTGTAAGCTGCAGATCCCCTTGCCCGCCAGCAGCCAGCGCTATGCTGCTACATAGCCAATTCTATGTGACTACACATCCATTCCCAAGCTTGACAAAGGCAGCAGAACAAAAACAGTCCCTCATTAAAATTGTACGTGAAAGTTGAACTAGCAATACATTGCTAATAATCCCGAAGAGCAACCAGCCGTTCATTTGCGGCCTAGCTCAGGCCCGAATTCTCCCGAGAAGCTTCCCTAGCCTCTGACAAGTGCTTGAGGGTAAGGCGTTGGGGTCGGCCAGTTTGCTTTTCCCCAGCTCCGGGTTCAATTGAACTTAGATGGGTGGATCATATTCTCTCCCATACATAATGAAAAATGTCGAGAAGCCGGTGGATGCGTGCGGGGCCAATATATACGCTGCGAGAACACCAGGAATGCGCAGTTCCCAGTCAGACTGATCCTCAGTAACCTGGTGACACAGCATGGATGTTAGAGTCCTATGTAGGCGTTCCACCATGCCATCAGTCTGTGGGTGATAGGGTGAGGTGCGGACCTTTTTTTATGCCCAACAGGCCGCACACTTCCTTGAGTAATTTAGAAGATACATTTTTGCCCTGGTCCATGAGGAGACGTTCCGGGGCTCCTTTATCCAAAACTTACCCATGGGGGAAAGCATCAGTAATGGTGGCAGCTGACTGGTCCGGCACCAGCCAGGCCATCGGCCACCGCGAAATGTACTCAACACTCACTAATAAATATTTATTACCCGGCGAGGTGGTGGGAAATGGACCGAGCATGTCGAGTGTCACGAGCTCGTTGACACGGGACACGCCGATTGATTTCAAGGGGGGACATGCCATTTTGGGTGGTGGTTTCCGGCGAGCACATTCTGTGCATCCCCCTCATGCCCGGCCAAAAAAAATGCAGGCGGAGCGTAGACAAGGTCTTTTGGACACCGAGATGCATTATGCGTTCATGCGTCGCCCATGTCAGTTTACCCCGCAAGACGGTTTGAACCACTATGTTGTACTGTTGCAACTCAGCGTCCGATTTCATCAACAGGCCCCCTGAAATTATCACCGAAGAACCGACTCGTTGGTTCCCATCGGCCTCGGAGTCGTTAATACGGCGTCTAATTTTAAATAGCGAGGCGTCCTCCACCTGGAGTTGCCCCCACTCAGCGTTTAAGAGGCCGAGTGTACGATCTCGCATGTCGGGCACGTCTGTGTGTGCAGCATCAGCCGCAGCGACAACAGTTCGTGGCGGTACTGTATCAGCAGGCTTGCATCACCCCACGCCTGAAATGCATGCACACCTGTCACTGGGTGGCAATCGTGACAGGGCGTCAGCATTTGTGTGGCGGACTCCCTTTCTGTAGGATACAATGAAGGAATAGTCCTGAAAGACTTCCAACCAGCGGGAGAGTTGACGCGATGGCTGTTCGACACGCTCAGGGTGAAACCGTATTCCCTTCCTTGGAATTTTGCCTAACAAGTTGTTTCTTTAAGCGCAAGGGAATTAGCATATTTGTGCCGGGGGGTAATTTTAACAGTACAGGTGGCCATCGCCAGAACTGATGTATTTGCCGTGCGGAAGAAATTTGGCGATGTTTAAAATGCCATTCGGCAACCCGAGGGTAATTCTATGCAGCCTGGATCGGTAAGGATGGTCAGGGGCATTTTGGCTAGAAAATCCGTTCCCAACAGGCAAGGTACAGCCACAGACATGGAAACAAGCACATGGGCTCATCAAGCTAATGTCGCCGATGCATACTGTCGCTATTAACTGGCCAATAATCCCTAATGATTGACCGTTTGCAGCAAAACACAGGATATTAACAGGCAAAATGGCGTGAGATTTTGGCGGCAAACAGTCGTAAATATTCTCCAAAATGATTGTCGCCGATGCACCGGTATCCACAAGTACCCTTACTTCAATCCCATCGATAGTCCCAACGATAACAGACGAACCTGCTGCTGCAGCAATAACGCCGCGACCCAAGGCGTGCAATTGCGCGGGACGCCATGGCCAACCTTCACACGCAACAACGCGCCCCACCCGCGACGTGCCCCGACCCGCACCGATGACACGCGATCCCGAGCCCGATGCATGAGGTGGATGTGTGGGCTGTGTGTGAGGTACACCTCAACTTGCATGTGGGCCCCGATGAGAGGAGAACGGGCGATTGTAGTACAGCGGCGACGTGGGAGGTCTTGCCCATGGAGCACGGCAGCCGATGGAGACATGTCCCGGCAAACCGCATTTAAAGCACACCACCGGCCCATCCTTCTGGCGGGAGGAAGGCTCCGTTGGGCGTCCTCGGTCGCCGTGTGGCCTTGCATCTGCCCTCTTTCCCCTACCCCCGGAGAAGGAAGCACAGGTTCATGGCGATGCTCCGTCTTTGGCCGCTCCTCCCTCCGCGGTGGTTAGGACACCTGCAGCCATGTCGGAGCGTCGCTGAATGCTGAAGTGTGCCTCCAGGCACCGCGCAATTCTGAATGAGGAGTGGTCGTCGTCATCCATCGCAGGCAGCATAACCTGTAGTTCCCGGGTAAGCTGGAGCATCTTTTCCAGGACCAGCGAGTCCCTGCCAACCTGGTCCATCCCGGGGTAGGCTGACTTCGCTAGTGCCAGAAGCGCGCTGCGAAAGGCGAGAGGCGTCTTGGCCTTTTCCCGCCTCCGTGTGGCGAACTTCTGGTGCTTGTGCGACTGGGGAGCGTAGATTAGCGCCATCTGAGCCAGAGCTTGGGACAGAGAGCGCTTGTCCTCTTTGGGAATAGCGTCAAACGACGCCAGAGCTTCGTCGTCCAACGCCGTTGGCAGCGCACGTAGCGCCTCCTCCATCCAGTTGGCTAGCTTGATTGTAAATCGGCGTCCGAATTGCCGCCAGTTACTGTGTAAATTCCTTGACGAATGGCAGCCTGGGTTAGCGGAACTTGAAATTGGGTGAGAGGGTTTCCAGCCTGCTGTCCAAATTGGCAGGCACTTGCGCTGCTTGCGTCCCTCGGGTTATCCGCGCGCGGGAAAAGGCGGCGGTGGAAGTCCTGGGGCGTTGGACGAGCGTCCTCTCGTCGTCCTGCTGCATAATGGCAGCCTGGGCAGTGACGGCGGCCAGGAGGTCTCCCATAATGTCTTTCTTGGTCTGGCGCTCACTCCTTGGAGGCGGCGGTGTGATGAGATTTCGGTCTTCTCCCCACGTCGGCGGCATAACAGCATCCCGCTCCATCTCCGGGTCCTGAGGACCCGGGGTTGATTGTGGGGGAGCCCCATTGTCGTGGTCGTCCTCGTCCGAAGACGACCTTGGAATTTGCTTTCTCCTTGTTTACATGAGTGAACTATGGTATCACCAACTA